GTTTTTATAAAGCTCCAACAAGTGTACATTTATTTTTAAAAATAATTTTAATTAATCATTCTAACAATACTATTTACAATAGTTTACTTTATTGCAGGAACTAGAACCGTAACCGAAAAGAACCGGTACTGGAACCCAATAACCTTTAAAATTTAGGAACCGTAACTGAAACCGGAATCTTTAATTCCAAAAATGAAAAATCGTAATCGTAACCATAACATTAATTATAAAAGGGTTAATTTAGGTCTGTTATTTAGACTAGTAAAACTATGGTAATGACTATTTTGTTTGTACATTTGTTGGTTCAGAAAAATAAAAATAAAATCTTTTTATATTTTTTTTATTTTGTGTTGTAAACTGTAATATTGTAATGCATATAATAAGTAAATTTGTAATATTATTATTATTACTTTTATATGTTTATTAATATATTACAATTTACAATGAGTTTATCATCTATCTTGTCTTAGCCTAATCGAATAAAAATAAAAGTAAAATTCTAGTTAATTAAAACATATTTATTCAATCTAAATTTTTTTTTTATTAAATATAGATTTCTTTTCTTCAACTTATGATCTGTTCTAGACGAATTCATTGAATTGGGTGATATTATAAATTACATACTTAACGTTTTTATTGAGTTATCTTTTTGGAAAAATCCATTGGTCATCAAAATTGATAAGGTTACAAATTCTAAAAAGTTGGTTACAAATAGTCACCAATTGAGTTTTATAAGTCATAACCTGTTTTGAAAAATTTCGTTTAATTGGGGGGGTAGCCCCTTATTGAGAAATTTACAATTACTCGGAAGGGCCGAGGTTACAAATTCTAAAAATTTGATTACAAATAGTTACAAATTAAGTTTTATAAGTTATAACTCCAGTTCAGCTCGAGCAACCGTACAGCGCATACGTGCAGTTCATTGTTCCCAAGCTGTGTTTATTGTTTATAAATTATTCGTTAATCTTATCGGTTTACGATCTAATTTTTTTTCAAATCCAATATAAAGTTGCAGCAAACTTTCAACTCATACTATCAAACCACTTTAGCACCTTCAATCATCGCTACATCAAAAAAAGTAATATATTTAATTAATTAATTACTTAATAATAACAAGAGAGAAAAAACATTATCTATATCAGTCACTCCAGGCACCGTTAACGCGGTGACCTTTGGACTGCAAACCAGATAACCGCACCATGCAATCTAATCCGCCTAAAAATTAACAAGCTAAAACAGTACAACCAATTAAAATAGTTAATAATCAAGCGATTAACAACGCTCTTCCATTATCAAGCCCCGTATGGCAGCAACAACAAAAACCTTCGAAACGTAGTCTCCCCTGTTCACCAAATAGCCCGAACAATATCCAAGAGAAAAAAATCAAAATTTTTTTCCTCGCCAAACCGATTCTCCGTATTATCTGAAAACGAACCCGATACAATTGATAGCGATGACACTAATAATCAAAACGAACCCGCAATCACACAAACAAACAAAAAGACCAACCACCACCAATATATGTAAAAGGAACACTTGACTTTTCTAATCTTAGAAATGCAATTGGCGATCTAATTGGGCAGGATAGCTTCACTTGCAAATCAACTACCACGCATCTACTACCATTATTTTTCATTTATCTTGCTCCCGAAACTATAAGTAAGGAAATATTTAATATTACTTCCCTACTAAACACAAAAATCAAAGTAGAAGAACCTCACAAGCGTCGCGAAATTCCCCAATGCCTAAACTGTCAGACCTACGGCCACATAAGGAGCTACTGTCATAATTCTCCTCGCTGTGTCAAATGTGGTGGGACTCATCCTACCGCAAACTGCACCAAATCACCTGAATTGCCGGCAAAATGCGCGCTCTGCAACGGCGAACACCCTGCAAGCTACAAAGGTTGTATTGTATACAAAGAGCTTCAACAGCGTCGCCGCCAACCTCACAACACAAGAAATAACAATCAGCATTAACAACCACCACCAACCAATCATCATTCGCAGTCCATCAACCAGCCAACACCACATCCATCGACACAAATTCCAAGAACTCAACATCACTCATACGCAGAAGTGGCAGCTACTAATACAAGTAACACATCACCGCCAAACTTCTCCGACACCCAACAAACATCTAGCATTGATAACAATGTACTAACTAAATTTTTAGAAGATTTCAAATGCATAATAAACCCACTTATCTCTCTCCTCACAACACTCATGACCAATCTTTTAAATGTCAAACATAACATTTAACTCATTTACCAACAACTCTCTTACGATCCTCTCATGGAACGCAAATGGCCTAAAAAATCACAAAGACGAATTCTTAATCACTCTACAAGAAAAAAGAATTGATGTTGCATTAATATCTGAAACGCACTTTACAAACAACTACTCACTCAAACTACCAGGTTTCCGCTCATATCAAACTAACCATCCAGATGGAACTGCACATGCAGGTGCTGCTATTTATGTTAGATCATCACTTGCATCGCACCAACTTACTAATTTTCAAACCGACTATATCCAATCTTGCGTGGTATCCATATCAATTAATAGTATTCCCATCTCAATAGCAGCTATATACTGTCCTCTCAAACTCGCCATGTATTCAAATCAATTCGATCTTTATTTTCATACACTTGGTCATAACTTCATAGTTGGTGGCGATATAAATGCCAAACATATTCAATGGGGATGCCGCACCACAAATCCGAGAGGAATTCACTCTTACAAAGTATCACTCACAATACCCTACGAGTCATCTCACCTCCCAACCCCACCTATTGGCCAACGTTTCCTAGAAAGAGACCGGATATTTTAGATATATTTATAACAAAAATCCCTAGCACGCTCCACTCTTCGATTATAAATCTCCACGCTCTATGCTCATATCATTCCCCCATTCTACTCACAATAGATTGCCAGCCTTTACCCAATCAATACAATGCACCACCGCACATTCTCAAATCATCTGGGACAATTTTCAAAAATCAATCCTACAAAAAACTAATCTAAAAGTCCGGCTGAAAACCACAGCTGACATTGATGACGCTGTGAATCTCTTAACATCCAATATACAAACCTCAGCATGGGAATCAGCTCTACCATCGAAACCACACACACCCACCGCAATTTTTCCTTTATATATACGTACCCTTATAGTACAAAAACGTCGCGCTCGCTGTTTATGGCAAAGAACTAAATACCCGGCTGATAAATGCCACTATAATGCACTCGCGCAAAATCTCAAACGCATGCTAGCAAATTATCGAAATGAATCTTATACTAAACACTTAATATCACTTACGACAAAAGACGGTTCTCTCTGGAAGGCAACGAAAAACTTCTTCGCGTGTATAACCCTCCAGCTATCCTACGCGACGCCAGTGGCAATTGGGTACACTCTGACATGGACAAAGCTAATATATTCGCAAACCACCTCGCTGACACATTCCAACCACACAATACCATCCTTCTACCGGAAAAAAAATCAATGAAGTTGAGCGATTTCTTGACATACCGTTACAAATGTCCCTTCCTCCTAAACACTTTTCTCCAGCTGAGGTAAAATATACAATTTTGAAATTTCCCCGAAAAAAGTCTCCCGGATATGACCTAATAACAGAAGAAGTACTTAATCAGCTCCCTAAAAAAGTTATCATACTTTTGACCTACATATATAATTCGATGCTCAGATTATCCTACTTCCCATTACTATGGAAGTATTCCTCTGTTATACTTATCCTGAAACCAAAAAAACCTCCAGACTGTCCATCATCTTACAGACCAATAAGTTTGCTACCAATACTATCAAAAGTTTTTTTAAAAAATGCTTCTAAAAAGACTTATTAAAATCATTGAAGAATCAAAAGCATTACCCGACTCACAATTTGGTTTTCGTAGCAAACATTCCACCATCCATCAAATTCACAGAATAGTAGACAAGATATCTTTCTCTTTATAAGAAAAACAATACTGTACAGGTGCTTTTCTTGACGTTTCCCAAGGGTTTGACCGCGTCTGGCACGCAGGTCTGCTGTTCAAATTGAAGCTCATTCTACCAGCTAGCTACTACCTGATTCTGAAATCCTACCTAGAAGATCGCTTTTTCTCGGTACGTTACGGATCATCCACCTCCCCACCGAAACCAATCAACGCAGGAGTCCCTCAAGGTGCAGTCACTGCTCCTCTTTTATTCAAAATTTTCATATCCGACCAACCAACAATACCCACTTCCCTTGTTGGAGATTTTGCCGATGATAAGGCAATAATAACCAACAATATCGACCCAATCACTGCCTCCCTCAACATCCGAGAACATCTCTCCCTCATCGAACAATGGTATAAGGAATGGGGAGTAAAAATTAATGAATCTAAATCCATACATTGTACCTTCACTCTTAAGAAGAAAAAATGTCCATCTATCATCCTTAATGAACAAATTCTACCTGTCGTACCATGCATTCGCTACCTATGCATCACCATCGATCAACGTCTCACCTGGGCTTCACATATACGTAATAAGCTCTTAACCCTAAACGATCGTTTTCGTCTTCTCCGTTATCTTCTTACTTCTCATCATATAAAATTATCCACTAAATTATTAATATATAAACTCTACTTAAAACCTATTTGGACGTACAGAATCCAATTATGGGGCTCCGCAAAACCTACAAATGTCAACCGTATCCAGCGTTTCCAGTCCAAAGTCCTCCGTGCTATAACCAAAGCATCCTTCTACGTATTAAATCATACATTACATAACGACCTAACCATTTCTCTTGTCAACGATGTAGCTAAGACCTTTTACAGACGTTTTAATTTCAACCTACAAAACCACAAAAATCCTTTAATCAAAGAACTTGCGTCTATAAATATACCCGGCAACCCACAAAAAAGGTTGAAAAGGCGGTGGTGTAGGGACCTATTAGTTTAGACCAATCTTACTCCTTTTGTTCTTTTTTCTATATCTACCTTTGCTATTTCCACTTATCCTTCCTTATGATATTTTCTAACATTGTTTAACACTTTTTTTTTCTCATCTTTAACTGTAAAAGTGCCTTCACTGAAAGGTATCTTTAATCCGTCCTTCACGCCATAGTTATCTATTTCATCAATTTCACTTATTGTTCAAACTATGTAACAGATTGTGGAAATATAAATAAAGTAATAAAAAAAAAAAATAAGTTATAACTTGTTATGGGCGATTTCCTTGAATTGGGGGATGGGGGGTTACGTGAAGTCAGCCCTTCATTGAGAAACTACCCATTACTTGAAAAATATGAGGTTACAAATTGAGAAAATAAGGGTACAATAATTTTGGAAAATATTTTTTACAGTGGCAGGACTAACTTCATATACGTTACATAATGGTTTTTGAAAAAAAACACTTAATATCAATTTAAAGCGTATACAAATACAGGTTTAATTATATAAATATTAAATACGTTATTAAAGTCAAAGAAATGTTTAACCAAACAACAAAACGAAAAAAACCGTTTATTTCATTTTTTAAACAACTGTAATTTAAAAAATATATATTTCAAAATTGTTTTATGGTGCTATTGGTAGTTTAAGTAACTATCTTAAAATGTTTATAAGATCTTTAAAATATTACATCTATGTATGCTGTATAATCACTTTTAAACACTGAAATCCGAGAGGCATTTAGCTTCATCATGTGTGCGAAATAGATAACAAATGTCAATGTACATCTTCATAGTTGATATGTTATAGACATGCATTGATAATCAAATTTCTCTATCGTGTCATAGTATTCTACCATCTATAGATCGGCTGTTATTTAATTTATACATACTTAAGATTTATTAATTAGAATTTAAATTTATCCACCCAATCACCTGATACAAAACAACTAGCTTATACCCATCCAACCACCCTACACCCACCCAAACATCAGATAACCACCACCATAGTTAAATGCAGGGGCGAACTGCTCCATAAAAGTACGTGTTCGGCGCCACTGGGACATCCTCAGTTTAACTCTCTCCGTATTATATGCGCTACATTCAGTACATCAAGTATATGCTTGACGGTAAGAGGGACCTCATAGCATATGCATTATTTTTTTCCGTGGCTGTGATCAAATAATATGGTGTATTCATATAAATATTAAATATATTATACTTTAGTTGAAGTAATTTTATTTCCCATCATTAGTTAAATCCTGCAAAAGCTACTGCGTCTATCATTATATTTTCATACAAGGTTATATATATGTTTTACAAACTTTATGTTAAACAAGCTTTTTCTTATTTATTTTTTTAATACACAGAATAAAATATGGAGTACTCGTCATCAAATTAAAAAAAAAAATTGACCTTTATAGCTAAGGACCAACTTAATATATATATATATGTATGTATGCATTTGTGCTCATTATAAAAATGCACTTATTAACATAATAAACCTAATAAATTAGATTTTTTTTTAATAATTCATATAAATCAATATTAATATCTATATTATTACATAAATTACCAATTGTTTCGATTTTAATCTCAACATTAGACAACAATCTATACCATGGTAATTCAAATTTTAAATTGTGAATGTGACCACTTATTATGTTAAATGGTAATTTTAATTCTTCTTCTAACACTTTCACATTAATATCTAATTCTTCAAAGGAACAATTTCCTTTTAACATTTCCACCTAGAGGGAACATGAAATAAAAGATAAAATTAATTTTATTAATACAATAAACTCTAACATGTATGTTGGATCAAATACCTGAATATTTTCAAATGAAATTGAAGTAAAGTATTTTCTCATATAACTCATGATCTTATTAACAACCCATCGTCTTCCAACATTTATTGTCTCCATTGCAAATGGCTTTATAAATAGTTGTTAAAATTAATGGATTTTAGATAGAAGATACTTATGTAAAGAGTTTTATTTCTTCTACAGTAACAACCATAAATATTATTACAATATAATCTGCAGTACTATCAAATTTTAAAAAATGATATGTATTACTTTGTTTACATAGTAGATTCTTAGATTCTTTGGCATTATATTATTTACAATTGGCCAGAAAAATATTTTTGATTATATTTACTCAGTTTTATTAAAATTGTTTTCGTTATTATAAATATTATTATTCAAAAATAGTAAACTTATGTTTAAGCTACTTTTCTTGGCGCTGTTAAAATTATAAAAAATATGATGTACAGGAATGTATGAATAATATTGTTTTATTGGTCTTTTAAACTTCAAACCGATGTATCATTATTTTCGAATAAATGATTCTGAGTAAAAGAGGTCAGTTAGATCACTTTATATTTTTTAAATGGATTGATATTATAATAGTTCAAATTTTTTAGTATTTTGAATATTTAATGTTCTAACTCAGGGGTGGCCAATCCAAATGATCTTGCGGGGGCACTTTGGAAATACATTACCATCCCGCGGGCTACATATAAAATTATATTAGTATTTTGTCCAATAAAAAAAAAAATTGAAGTAAACATTATACTTTAAATTAAATATTATTACAAAATAAGTTTTGATGTATTTATTATTTGAGATAAACAAAGTGAATTGTAATTGTTTTTATTCTGAATCCAATTCTTTCAAGAACTCTTTAAATTGTCGATACTGAAGCATATGTGATCGAATGTAATTCACTGTTTTTATCAAGCTTTATTGTAAGGATTTTTTCCAACTATACAAATAAAATATACATTACAAGGGGCTTCGCCTCACACTCTCCACGTTTATTTCATTGATCCTGATGAAGCAGATGAGTCCAAAAACATGGAAGTAGCCAACTTCGGTTTCACTAACCCACTGTTTAAACAATTCGTCATGTTTATCATTTATTTATTTTTATTGATATTTGGGAGGGGGGTCCGAGTTCAAACCACCACCAGGGCCGAAAAAAAAATTGTTTTATTATTGATGACGTGTAGTATATTCGTAGTTTCATTATTACGCTTTGAACTTAAAATATACAACTATACAAATATTATGATAGTTAAATAATTATATTGATAGGTGTTTGAAAAGTTTTGTTAACTATGCTGTTTTTATATTCCAATAGCTATTAAATTACTGTAATGTAATAGTAAACTGTAAATTGGTAAAAAAGTTATATAAAATAATATCTTTTTATAGCAGTTATTTATCTCATTTATCTGTGCAATGAAAAAAAAAGATAACGATTATTTTTGTTAACCCCCCCCCCCCCCCCCGATCAAAATTGAATGTACGCCACTGATTATTATAATTAATTATAACATTAATTATGCGATTAAATATTAACTTTTTTATTAGTAATATTTATGATTTTAAATCCTGTTAGGAAGAAACAAGGAAATTCCAAGCCTATCGGATAAATGGCTGATCATAAACCTAGGACACTGATTGGGTATGATCATCTGGGGAAAAATAAACTGCTATCGAAGGAAGACATCGACTTGAAACATCTGTTGACTGAATCGTACGAGAAAGGCGACGAGGAACTGCTGTTCGTTGTACAGTTCGTGAGTAAAGTACTCGAATCATACTCAGGGGAAAGATTCGGCCTGAAAAATACCTGGAAGATTTCTGTGATGAACTCTACAAGGACAGGATGTGAAACTACAAGTGCGAATTGAAATCCAAATATTGTGTAAAAAATTAAACATCAAGATTGAGTTTAATTAATAACAAATAAATTATACTGAAAAATATTTGAAAATGACTACAATTATATCAACGATGAAAATCTGATGGAAATGTTATCCACTAAAATTACCATCCAGCATCCAATCGCCAACTAATAACTTTACATGTTTATATATTCAAAATGTTTGTCTTTTAATATTAATAACTTAATAAAGTTGTACTATTTTATTTATTTTTTTGAATATATAACACATTTTTTCGTGAATAATATACAAGGTTTTTTTTTTTATTCAACACATTAGAAAATTATCAAGATTTTTTTGATGTTCAATAGTTTTGTAATATTTATTTTAAATGTTTAGAACTCAAATTTAATTGAACGCATCACATATTTGTAGTGGCAGTGGTCGAAGTGGGAAAAATTAAGTAGAGAAGCTCAGTCCAACGATTTAAAAACTGCGTTCCACCTGCGAAATTATTTAACACACTCATGGGGAGCATCGTTCCCATCCCTTTCACTAAACTTCGGTCGCGGCGAATAGTCCGGCGGTGAAATGACCGAGTCCGCATATATGGTTTCGCTAGCTGATCATAGACGGATATCGGGCATTAAGTTCCTGAATAGTACAAGGTACTACACAATATAGTTACAAGGTAGTATTGACTCTCCCTACTTGCTTTCCTTGATTTGTTTTAGAGTTCCTCAACGTCATTTCTGATCTGTTGCTCCTTTTTATGTTCCTTTCACCTCCACAAATTACCTTAAAAATGAGCCTATTACATGTATGATATCAAATGCCAATGTTGACCCTTCGTTTTTTCAATGCCTATAATTTACTGTATACCACGTTACAATATTAATTTATTATTACATCATAATTTGTATAATTAATATGTAACTGAATGTATAATGTGCAGTGGTGGATCCAGGATTTTCTTTTGGGGGAGGGGGGTTTGAAAAATGTTTTCGTTTGGGATATATTATTTATAACATTGCAGCCAGAGATTGTTGATGAATTAAGATAATAGTAAGTAATATAAAACATTAATTTAAAACTAAAAATACTTATTTCTTATATGAATAAAAATACAAATTACATACAATTCCTCATACTTAAAAAAAATATTTTCCTTAATTCATAAAATTATTTATTTTTAATATATATTTTCCTGATTTTGGGGGAGGGGTTAACCCTCCTCCCCTCGTATATCCACCACTGATAATGTGTATATATGTTCAAAGGGCTAATTCTGTAAAATAAAGAAATAAATAAATAACAATGAATGTAGGTATACTCTATATTTGAGCATCTAGTTCCGGGCCCATAACGAAAAGATTAATAATAAATAATACCTAATATATTATATTATCATGAACATATAATTTTTTACTAAGATGACTTACCAATTCACAAGGCTGGGAAAGTTAACTTTTTTTTTAACTCGTTAAGTTATTTTTAAATAATAAAGTTAAATTAAGTTAAAAGTTAACTTTGAAAAAAAAGTAACTTAACTTAGTTTAAAGTTAACATTTTTTAATTTGCAAAAATAAAAAATCGCACACATAATACTAGTTTTTTTACGCTCAAGAAAATTACTGGAGAAAATTAAATAAAATACATAAAAGTATTAACTAGCTAATTAATAACTATTAATAACTAATTAATTAATAAAGAAATAATAAACTTTCACAGAAATATAATAAGCTAATAAAGTAATAAACTAATAATAATATGTTATAAATTCTAACGAGATGTAAACAGAACACATGCTAGTTGAATTATGAAATTAAATTGGAAATTATCTGTCTGGCAGATATTTCTACCGAGTAAGAACTTTTAATCTTTTTCCAACACTTTCAAGCCTACACTATAAAATATAAAAAAAAAAATTTTTTTTTAGAAAACGTTATTTTAGAGTCAAATGAAGATAAACAATTTCTTTTGTAATTTTTGAAAGATTTACATTTTATTTAATATTATTATAAATTTATATATATATATATATATATATATTATGTTAAATATTTAATAATGTTTTGTGTATCATGCATGAGAATATATGATTAGTTATCAAAATGTATTATTTTATGTTTTTATTTTATGAATTTGATAAGAGGTTTATCTTTTGAATAAATAAAAAATTATGTTAATTATCAATGTAATATTTATTTATTTGATCTGGAGAACTTCATTATTAATTAAGCGGACGCACTATAATAGGCCGGCGGGGTTGAAGTTGTCGGACCTTATTCCATATTATGGTCTCACAGATTATTATGTGATAATACGTTGTTAGCTAATGATAATGTTATCAATACATTCAGAGGAGTTATCTAATTTTTAGTAATTATTTATGCCCACGAAACATTTTTCCTCAAAAGTTCATTCATATTTGTACTTCGTTAATATAATGTGCGGATTTTTATAATATTTATTACTATTGGTAGATCAATCTTTAGTATTTTTTTTATAAAAATTATCGTATGTACAGCCATATGACATTTAAAGTATTCATTCACTTTTTTTTGTAACTATATTTAATGAGTTTTTAAATTTAGATTGACATGGCCGAAGAATGTTTAATTCTCCAAGAAGAGGAACGAGAAGCTTTACTTTCTATTTATGATGGTGATGAAGCTTTTAAGGATGTATCACCTACTGTTTATCAATATAAAGTAAATTACCTGAAAGTTAAAATGTTTTCTTTATGTGGATGATGTTTCTCTCAAGTGATTTTTATGTCACAATCATCTTGTTTTTTTTTCAATATTTTGAATAACTATACTAATGTATACTATCTGGAAAATAAATTACATTCTATAATATGACGAAATTTATGAAAATTAAGTTAATAACAAAATTTGATTTGTTTAATCTATAAAATGTTGATTGACGTACAGTTTAACACAAACATTTGATCTAAATTTACTTACATGTCAATTATAGTTAACATTCTTTAAATATTATATTAAATTCATGGTTTATAAGTTAAAATTAGATGAATTTAATTATAAGAAAATCAATTTTTTTAAATTAATTTTATTTTTATGAGCAAAACATTTTATTAAATATTTGAATTAGCGGTTAAAATAAGATTTAAATTTGCGATTTACAAATAAAGTCAAATTTTGTTTTACTATGCTAAATTTTTGTTAAATATGTATTTTTTAATGATTCATATTTATTCATACTTTAGTAATTATAATTAAAAATTTTTGTTATAATACTTGAATTTTGTTTGTTATATTGTGTTAAATTTTTCAAAACTTAAATATATATATATGTATATATATTTTACTTTAACAGTATGGAGAAGATGGTGATAATAAATCCTTTCTGTTGGAAGTTGAATGGCACAACAATTACCCAACTGAAGCACCTAAAATTAATTTAGATATGTTCTACAATAAACACATGTTTGTATAAATTTAATTGTACATAAACTATTTGTATATAATAAGGATGGGAAATTCAAAGTTACTAGAAATACAATTTTTAGGTCTTTAAAATCTAGTGGACCGCATCAAAGAAAGTAAAAAAGTATTAATTTTTTTTTTAATAATTGACATTTATTTTTTTAATTACTACTGATCATCTACATTCTACTAACAACTCTATAAATTCAGATTAATATTACCTCAATATTTAATGAAGTTATTTTTATTTTTAAATTTTGGATTATTAAATTTCAAAATTAAACACAATTCAATTAATTTGCATTGCTCATCCCTGATACACTGTTTATTTGATATACTAGTCCACTTTTTTTTATATATTTTTTTAACAATTTAAATACATCATACACATTTATAATAAATATTTAAAAAGTGTTATTATGAAATTATTTATTTTAGAGTTAGTTCAGTTAAACAAAATATTAAAGACAAAATAGCAAAAGAAGCTGATCATTATTTGGGTGAATCCATGACGTTTACTCTTTTTGAGTTTCTTAAAGATTTTGCCGTAGATTTAGTTGCTGATCAACCTGATAAAGAAGTTATTGAAAGTATAACTAAACTTGTATGTATTTTTTTTTATATTTATTTATTGATAATAAAAATGAATTCTAATAAAAATTATAAATTGTCTAGTCAATTGACAATGATGATGAAACTATGAAAAAGATAGTGAAGAAAGAAGCTATGAGCAAATCTCAAAAAAGAAAACAATGGGATCGGTTAGATTCCAAAGGAGAAAAACCTCGAGGATATGATTGGATAGATGTTGTTAAACATTTGTCACAAACAGGATCTTCTAAGGTAGAAATATCGACATAATAACACTGTGATATCCATTGCGTTTTTTTTTTATAAGAAATATATTTTCATTGAAATCAATATTACTTAATGTTTATTGTATTAATTAACTAAATTCCTGTCACCAGGAAGCTCTCCATTCATCGACTACTAGGTGATGACTTGTAATGTTCCAATCTAATATAAAATCAATCCTTTGTTTATGTAATGCATTCATAATTTAATATAATCAAGTTTATAAATTACCTGACATTTTAGCATGCAAGAGAAATTTATCAAAATTTTTATTGACAAAATCACATGCTAGTTGGACATACTCAGAATGTGTACAACAAAATTGAGTGTTGTTTGATGTATATTTCATCTAAATACAGTTTAATAAATATTTGATTAGTGTATAATAATGTGTGCATATATCTAATAACGATTGTTATTATTTAATTTATGTAATTGGGCTTGACCCGTTTAAAGTGTAATTAAGTAAATAAATAACTAATTGTTTTAATACTTACAGAACGAAGATAATTGAGTTTCACAAGAGAAAATGTATTCTTGGGACAAATTAAATGACCTAATATGTTAGCATGAAAATATGCTTTTAAAATATTTTCAGTATTAATATTTTTATCCAAAACTACATGAATACTGTCTTTATGTATATCCACAATTAAAATATATAGATAATCTTTGTATAATTCAATGTGATCTATTATATCCCATGTAGTCAATGCATTGGTATATAATAAATCATGAACAGACGTTCCCAGTTGAATTTTAAAAGAAGACAACTTTTCATCTAAAATAAAATTTTAAGTAATTTATACAAAATTCTCTTGAACAGTGATTTTTTTTTTCTTTATAATATATTCTTTAACTAATATAACATAAGTAAGCTGCACATTATAATAATAATTGTAATTATTTAGTGTCTTAGACATAATAAAAGTTATATATTATTATGGAATATACTAATAAATCAAATAATTTCATTGATCTGTTTTACTCGAGTAGCTAAAAATTATTACTTCTTTATACTGGTTTGCCATTACCATCTACAATTATAAATATTATATACATCCAATTTTTTAAGCATGCTCATTCCACTTTTAAACTTAAATTTTACATTTATTCAAATTGCAAATTCTGAGAATTTTACTCCTCATAATTTAGATATTTTAGATTTGTGATTATAATTTTTATTTAAGTTTTTTCTTTTCATAACTGTCGATATGTATTTTAAAATGGATTTATTTTCTGAAAAAGTATATGTATATATACCTAATATTGAATGTAGCATTATTTGATACAGAATCAACAAATGAGGTAAAGTAAAACATTTATCTTCTAGTTACTGCACTTCATGATTATTTTAAATAAAGCTATCCCAGGCAAAATAAGCTAATAGTTATAATTTAAAATAAACTGATGACTTAAAAATGATGGTAATATTTTTAATATATCTTAGATCAATTTAACAGCAACCTACAGTTTTTCAACTATTGTCAGATAGCATGTTGAACACTTTAGCAGCAGCAATATTCTACATCTGTGCACACCTAAGGTACATAATACATTAAAAAATCACAATTTTTTACCTTTTAAAAAACATGATTCTTTTTTATTAATAAATTCTGGTTTTTGTACATCATGGTTTTGTGAATCATTCGATAAATAATATTTAAGGGTTAAGTCAAAACGTGCACTATTGAAAACATTTATATTTAAACTCTTTACTGCTTTGTAGTTAGCAAACAAATGTAAAGTAGTTACAACAAAGTATATGGTCCATATAAGTCTAGAAAACATGAAATATTCAAAAGTTAGATTCTATGTTCTAAAAAGTCTTTAATAGTTACACTATAATAATAAGTTACACTTATTTATACTTACATAATATGATTTTCAACAATTGGTAATATAATTAATCCAATAAGAAATGCAATTAAATTTATGCATGTTTCTTGACTGCCATCTTTTGCTGAAACATCAGCCATATTTTCACTAATAGCCTATTTAAAAAAATATATGTTTTATAAAATTTTATTATTTTATTATTTCTCTAAAATATGATTACATCTGTTCATAAAAGACTTTAAAAAGTTCATAACAAAAATAGTGTTTTCCCAACAAACTAATAAACAATTTTTTTATCAACTTTTTGAAAATATTCCATAATAAATAATACATAAATTTTCATTAATCATAAAATAATATTATCATTACTTTTATTTCTGAATAATATTTTTTTAGTACAAAAATATTCTAACAATTAGTTTTGAAATTATGGATAGTACAATTTTGTGAATATGTATTACAGATTGTAATTTACAGTAATCGAGTAATATTTTGAATCTTTGTAATAAGTCCAGTTAATACTGACTGGATCTAATATTTACCTGGTGTTGTGTTAATGCTGCTCGTGTGGCTCCTCCAGCAACGCCTACAATGGATTTAGCACAGCTTGAAAAAGATAGGATTAATAATGAAAATTTCCTCATCCATGGAATGCTTAAGAGTAGTTCAATAAATATTGCCAAGTCATTTAGAGCATCAGCTCGAAGTCTCCACTTTTTACATTTTGTATCTAATTCAGATCTTAAAACAATAAGTATTAGATAAAATTTATATCATTTTTATTATTAATATTTAATAGGCATATCATTGAATTAAAAAAAATAAATAATAATAATAATAATAATATGATAAAGCTATAGGAATAAGTGCATTTATTCTAAATTGTAATAGATATGGAAATTTACCCTTTCAACCACGCAAAAGTTATACGCCCAATCATACCAGCTCCATCTTTAAGTATATAAGTAATAGATGCAGCAAGAGCTGAAGCTTGAGCGTCACCTATACCGACACCCTTAAGAATAGCATTTGTGGCTAATATATTTGAAATTGTACTACAAAATGCCTAAAAACAAATGTTGGTACAATTTATCTACTACGGGTAGGTAGTCCACATTTAAACGAAACACAAAAAAATTATTCAGTTTTTTTAAATTTAATACATGGATATTTTAAAATTTAATCAATACTAAGATCTAATAACTGTACAGGTGATGGTTAACTAATCTAATCTAATTTTTCTAATTATTGGTATCATTGATTTAATAATAGTATGTTACCTGTACAGTATCCCAAATCTGATACTCTGTATAATCCTTGCTTACACTATTTGGAAATCCTCTTGGTAAAAATATTTCTTTAAGCACATTCATAGAGTTACATACTAGACTAGTGGACTGTTTACGTCTTTCAGATTCTAATATTAATTGACGTTGATCTAGAAATAAAATTTCAAATAATTTTTTTGTTTTATTTATAGTACATTACATCATCATAAACAACATTTAAACTTTTAAATGACAGTATTAAGTTTCAAATGATGCAATGGCTAGTAAGAATAAATACAATGTTAACTAAGAAAATATTTTCAATACCATGTCTCTTGTATATGATATTGCATTCTCCTGGTTTGTACTCTTCGCTTAAAAGTATTTCATCTCGTTCCTTTGACGACATATTATTTCCAAGGAGTTGAAAAATTATTTTTTACTCGAATAAGAAACACATCAGAGGAATATATAATAATTTGGTACCGATTTGTAGGTACGTGTACAACAAGTACACAAAAGTACCAATATGTTGCGACTAATTTCAGTGGTACGAATAGTAATTTTGGTACCAATCTACAAACAATAACAACCGTTTTCGTATGACAAAAAAAAAAAAATCAATATCAGCCAAACATTGGTGGACATCACAACATAAAATATCTATAATCACGATGTAGATAACATCATAGATATTAAATACATCGTGATTCAAATCATGTTAATTTAAGTAATTTGTGTTTTGTTAATTTGTTGTTTTAGAAAGTTTTTACAAAATACAAAAAAGAATGAAGAATGATTAAAATTTTTTAAGATGTTTCTTCTCTTGATATCATTTAAAACATTTCTAATCGTAATAAAACAAGAATTATTACATTTTCCTAGGTATTACGACAATCGCTCTGTATTCGTTAAAATGTAATATCTAATATATTGCTACTTACAATATACTACCTATAAAAATTTTGTTATACAGTTAAACACTTAGTATTTGTTCTGATTGTGTTCTTAAAAAGCATTACTGAACCTCTAGTAACTTTTTCTACATTTCTTAGGAGACCAATTACAAAGTAGTTAGTTTACATATTTTTATTTATTTTTTAAAGTAACCATAAATTTGTGAATCTAACATAGTTGTTTATATGTATGGTTAGATTTTCCAGACATAATTTGGAACTTTATTTTGTACTTTGTGTGAATCGCGACGGTAAACTTATTTGCTACTAGACGACCATAAACTCTTATATGTAAGTACGTGTATCATAAATATTTAGTTTATAAAAAGCACCTTATTTGTTCTTTATTATGTTGAGTTCGTGTTTGTCCTTACTATTTTCAATCACTTAAAATTTGTTTAATTGTTTAAATACCATTTTGAACACTATTTAATTATAGTACCCTTTTATTACCTACCTATCTTGATATTAATTAAGTTTGTTTGAAATTTATTTTTGTGTTGAATATTCACATGCTACTAACATAGCTGTCTCATATTGTTTTTTTTTTGTTATTATTATTTTTATTACCTATATCATTTTATTTAAAAATATTTTCAACATTTAAACCATTGTTAGAAGTGTATAATTTTCAGAATCTGTAGACATATTTGCAACAAAAAAAAAAAAATGTATATTAGATTTTTTTTTCAACCAACGATTTCCAAAAATTGTTTGATTCAATATTTGTGTAAAAATACTAGTGGAATTCATGGCTGAATATAATGCATTTAAATATCATACAATTTAATACGACTTTATTGTTAAGTATACGAAAAACAACAATATGTATTTAACATTTTGATGAATTTAAATATATCTAGATAATATTCTTGTTTGTTCTAAGTAAAAAGCATAGCACAATATATTATAATGTAAATTACTATGTAATTATAACACAATTAATTAAATAAAATCTGTTGAATCATATTTAGACCATATTCAATTTTTATTAGAAAGTATTTTAATTATTTTTCTACAACAAATACCTAGTTTTAATGAAATTATTTTGAAGCATTTATATAGATATTTATATTTTTACAGTACATTTTTTTTAGTTTTTCCATATATCTGTAGGATATAAGTAAATCAAACTATCCTTAATAAATGAAGTTAAAATAACTTTGAGATTATTTGTTGTTCTCTTAGGCATTCCTTTTGAAATTGTATGACTAGAACTTCTCAACTGATAGTAATATAACGGCTTGCATTCAATTTCTTTTGAACATATTTTATCCACAGTAGTCCTAGAGTAATTTAAGAATGATAATAATACTTGTTTTATTTAAATTTAAAAATAAATTGTATATTAACCATAGTATATTTTGGAATTCAACTGAATTTTGTATATTTGGTATTAGAATTCCTTTACCTTGAGAAATAAAACTTTTTATATTATTTTTTGCTTCATTTATCCATTTACTATTAAAATCGTCAATTATTCTAACATATACATTCAAGACTAAATGTTTTACTTGTGGTTGCTTTTCTAGTTTCATAATCAATTTCTGAAATTATACTTTTACAATTATTTGCATATCTTTATTTTTTTTTACAATCATCTAATTTAGGTATTAATTACAATTTACTAGATTAAAATTAGTTTTAATATCATTGCATTATATATATTATTTTATTGATAGTAACATGTAATTTGTTTGTAAGCATTATAATTAAATTGGGTCTTAAAAAGTTTTTTATCTGTTTAGGTTAAAAATATGAAAATTGATGATTTTATATTTGTATTTATTATAACAAAATAATATTTTGTATTAATTTTTTAGTCTTACTGGTTTATAATTGCCATGTTCTTTAATTATAAATACTCCATCTAGTTTATCATTGTTTATCTTATAGTTTATCAATGAATTTTTATAAGTTTCATCTTGTGAAATTAACTTATAACTAACATTAAGCATTATTGTTAAAATAGCTGGTTGATTATAACTGGTTACAGTTATCTCAAACACTTGATTTTTATGTCTTTTTAAATTGCCTTTAAATGGCACTATAGCAGTAACTAGTATATTTTCGACTGTACATCTAAATAATATTTAAAATTATTTTTAATACATTTAATACATCATGTTATGAAAAACTATACTTTTTCCATTCATACATAATATCTTCATCACTGTTATTATATAGGCAAAACATAGACTTAACGTTTGTACATGTGAACATTGGTTTAAGTATTATACTTTCCGTCGATAAGAAAATCATTCTGTCATTTTGTATTGGTATAAATGATGATAACCCTGGTCCTGGTGAAATAAAGGTTCTGGTATAAGAATCACCTTGTCCTATTAGAGTAATCTGGCGTTTGTTATTGTTTGAAAGGAGCGTAACAACAGCCTATGAAAATTGTAATAATTTTTAATACTTTTTTAGTTTAATTAATTATGTATGTATTGAACTTACCTCAAATATACATAGCTTATCAGGTGCAAATATAAACAGTATTGGATGGACAGATTTGGGGTGAACTATTCCACTGGGATTTAAACAATGAAAATATGGATAAGCTGGCGTTGATGAATTGTCAGTTATAAAATAATTAACATTGCTTTCTTTGTGGTTGTACACCCAAAAAGCCTTTTTAAAATGTAAAATATTATTTTAATTAATTAATTATGTTATGAAAATTTACTTGTGCTGGTGGATTTGGATGAGCTATAAATATTGGTATAAAGTTGAATTCTAGATGTCCATTTATTCTATATTTTGGATCAAATGATATTAAGTCATTTTTCAAGTCAATGGTTTCAATCAATAATTTAGTGTTATATAATGGTAATTTATTTATTTCAATTGACCATTTATAACTTAATTTTATTTCATCTTTATTTATATTATTTAATTCAATCTGGATTTTTGAAAAATTGTCCTTCTAAAATGTTAACATTATTTTTAGTGTTATATTACAATAAAAATTATATCTTGTATTATGTACATATAGATTATTTTTTAAATTACTTTAAAGTTAATTTTTGGAGAGATTTGAATATTTTTATAGTGTACACATTTGTTGGACAAATTACCATGAACCTTATTTCTATAACTTTTCATTTCCATTGTACATTTAATGCATTCATTATATTTTAATGTCCAAGTAATTGGGATTTTTGATAAATTATAAAATTGAAATTCATAAACGTTTGAGTCAGAAATTACAGGTATAGTCCAAGTAAATGATGAAACATTTTTAATATACATTTTGCTTAGTTCATTATTTACTCTGTAATCAATTTTCTATTTATAGTATACCGATTTAATGAAATTATTCTCCAAATTACTTCAAGCAATTAAAAAGTTTATTCATTGTTAATTTTCCAAAATAAGGTATAGAATCATTAGATATTCTTGATATTTTCAGTGCACACGTTATGACATTCATACAAACTGTTATTGTATTCTTACTATCCAAATAAGATTTTTCTTTGCACTCTAATTGTATGTTAACTAATAGTTGTTGAAAACCTAATGCTTTTGGTTGTACGAATAAATCTATTTTCTAAATTATCATTAAATACAAATTACTTGAAAAGCTTAAAATGTATACATTAAAAAAATTTAACATACACAATAATTTTGTTCTGGTGTAAATTCAAAAGACTCTGGATTTATTTTACAAGTTGGCATAGGTGGACAAATTATTGAACACATGGGTGAACAAACAGAGATTTTGATTTTTGCATATGAACAATTTTTATTTTTGATTTTAAATTGTTGTACATTTTCAGTATGTACTATTATATCATTGAAATTACATATTGGTGGTGTAATCTAAAACAACATTTTCTTTGTAACAACAATTTTAAATTTATGTATGTTAGCAATGTATCTAACATGTCAAAATTTCTCAAATATTTTATTTAGTTTGTTGTGGATCTTGCACTTTTTCAAATTTTGTAAAGTAATGTAACTCATATGGAGGTACCAGATAGTATGGATCTCTACTTGAAATTTTAATATTATGTAATGATTTAAATTTGATACAGTAATTTGGCGTGTATATGACAGTCATTCACAACTTATTTATTTATAACAACTTACATTTATTTTATTCCAATTGACCTTAGTACAAGATGTTTGGAATTAATTAGTGTTATGTGGTGTAAGATTATATGGTATGCAACAATAAATAATGGTAAATTATAACTTAATTAATATCTAGGGAGTAATTTATATTTTCAGTGTAAGAATAAATGGACAGTATGTCTGTACTATATGGTTAAATAACCATTTATCTCTATAATTTAACTTTTCTATTATATTGCAATAAAATTTGAAAACTTAAAATGTTTAAAACTTGGTAATCAACTAGTAGATTCATCTAAAATACAAGATCTTTTGGACCTTTAGTTAGTATATAAATATAATTGTATGCATTTTATAAAATTATTAATTCATCAGGGCAGTGTTACTTTTATGATTGGTCATATTTTATCCTTACTTCGAACTTTGTGTTGCATCCTTTTCCTTTTATGACTAAAGGTAGTATATTTATAATGTCTGGGAAATTTGTACACATTAAATAACATCTAGCGTTTACTGTATAAAGTCCACTTTTAATCGGGCAAAATGATAATTTCATATAGCATTTTTCATTTGGTCCTAACTCTCCATTGTCTTTATCGAGTTTGAATACAAATTGCGATTGATTCGATGGTTTTTCGGCATCTTTGTATTTTAACGCGTTGAGTGACTGTATAGATTCAATAGATATTGTTGTTGAATTGTTGTACATAAAACTTTTAGCATCCTCAAGTTCAGTATCGGTTGCTACGTCTTCTTGTATTTCACTTGTGCATTCGTATTCGATTTTTTCTATTTCTAATTCTTCGTTATATTTAGAACACACCGAAGATAACGAAGAACAATCGTGTATTGTTTCTGGCATTGGTTGTTGGTTGTACATTTTTATGTTGTATCGAAGTCTATGCCTGGTCTTGTTAACAATTGGTATTAGCACATCCATTTCATACCCTATTTGAACGTCGTTTGAAACAAGGACACGATTTTTTTCACCGATTGTTACACATCCGAATTCAACGCTAGCGTAAATGTTGATATTAATCTGAAATCCGATTTGTTTTTGTTTAATTTGGTATTTTAAAAGTTTGTTTTTAATATATATTATCATTTAGTTAAATTTGTGGTATAATTCAATATTATGATAAATCAATTAATGTACCGAATTGTTATCGAAACCATCAAATATTAAACTCCACTGTTCGGCATAGAGTGACTCTTTTCTATTTGTTTTTAACAATTGAAACACCACAATTTGATAATCGCTTTTTATCAATCCACATTTAGGCTTTACTAAGAACATCCTACGAAAGATAATGATATATATGTTTACACATGTACTCGATGTAGTGTATGTAAAATGTGTGTTAATTTTTTCCTTTATTTGATGTTGGATGTGAGGTAAAAATATATATGTACATCGATAAAAGAAGACAGAGGCATCCTCAGGGTAGGGTGAATGGGGCAGTCGCCTTTCCATGATTATTTTTCTTTACATTCTTATTATTTATTATTCTTATCACATTAAAAAATAATACATAAATGTGAATACATTGATGAAAAATTGCCCCTTCCCCCACAAAAAGGTCTAGGGACGCCACTGGAAGGAGACGTATCATTTCCTCTTTCAATTTGTCTTATTCCTAATTACGCCACTGCTGTATATTATAATATACTATCTCGCATGGGCATAACTTTTTATTTATTTTTAATTTATTAGGGGGGGGACAAATATATAGTTACATATCAATAGTTTATATAGTTAACCTTACATTACTTGTAAATATATGTTAACATTACCTTTTGCTGTATTTATATTAGTTCAAGGTGATCAATATTACTAAGTAATGAAATAAAGCAAACATAAATAAATAAACTTAAATACATTAAAAAGAGACATTTTTAAGATTTTATAACTTCTAAACAAAAATTCCGCTTTACTACCTACATATTATTACATACAATTATTCATTATTCATTATATAACATTATTTTTGTTAAGCTAAAATTGAAAATTTAGATTTAAAAAAAACTGAATAATAAGAGAAGGAGTGCGAATTTATATGCATTTGCATACTTATTCTGGATGGTATGCTAAGTTAGCACAACATTTTTTTTTGTGACATGACGATTTAAAAAATCAAATTTTTTTAGAGCGTATTTTTGCATACTTAGATATTTACCCATTTATTTTTATTTTAAGTTTTTAGTTACATATTTTATCTTTTAATGCATATTTCGATGTTTTATTGTTTATTTTTTTTTTTTTAATATTTTTGAAATATTTACTAGGTATTGTAATATAATGGGTAAATCTGTTTATAAAAAATCTAGTGAAGAATTATAAAAAAATGAAGATTACGACACACTAAAATATTAAACATTTTTAATTGGCGAAAGTGAATCAATTCATACTGGCGAAGTTTTATCTCCAAATTAAGTGATATAAATATTTCAAATACGTTTCTAATACTTTTGTAGATGTGGAAAGATAATTTTCAAGATATAAGAATTTGTTGACTGATAAATGCCAATCAATGGTTTTTGAAAATACAACTAAAATTATTTTCATACATTGCAATGTGCATTTAGGAAAGAAAATTTCATTTAGGATATAATTTTAATATTAATTGATTTCTCTTTATCTAATAGTTAAAAAATACCTACAAAATGATTTTAGTTAGTAAATTCTTTTAAATTTACAGTATTTACAGTAGGGTTCTGTAATATTAAATGTAAATTTTTTGTGTTTTATTTTAATTAAAATTCAAAAATCATATACTCGTATTTTTTTTTATGCATATATAAACACATTAGTGAATATACTTGTGCAAGATTTTTTAGCACATATTTAGTTGGTTTTTAATGTATATAAATCCGCATTTTAGTAATAGCTATAACTAGCTATTTTTACTTATTTTAAAACAAGGTGTATTAAATATTAGAGGGGGAAATGTTCCTCTTGTCCCCCTCCACCATCTAACGCTTATGCTATCTCGGTATACTAAATAATGTGTGCATAGTAATAATAATAAATATTATATTAAATGGCCAATAAACACATACGAATTATCTGGTGGCCGGAATTCAAATATCGTAGGCACTTGAACTAATTTTTTAATAAGAAACGTAGCGAATACAGGTTCGGAGGCAGGCACGCATGGTGGCATTATTATTGCACGAGTACTAAGCTTGCATTTCGGGATCCATCCGTTTGAAGGTTTTTTGAAAGAATGGCCTAAATAATAATAATACCATGTTAATATATATTTATTCACGGAAGTAAATAATACCATTGATTATAAATACTATTTATACTATTTATAATCAATGATAATACTTCGTATAGCTTCACATTGCCATTTATATCTTCATCGTTGTTGAATATTTATTCAAGTATAATTTGGCGTATTATATTCTATGTGTAAAATTATAATTTATATTATACCAGCGGCTGTTATTGAGACGTTCATCGGGACAATGTAAGCTGACTGCGGTGATATTTCCAAAGTGGTAGGGCAATGGTTCAATTCGGGTTCGACGATGCCGTATTGGACAATAGCTTCAAGCTCAGAAAAATAAATTTTCGAAAAGACTTTTGGGCGAAACACGCATTCTAGAGTTTTTGTCTCATGGCTACCAATGTTAAACAGTTTTGGATTTATCTCGAACGGATTTTTACCGCTGTCAAATTCTGTATGAATTTACAAACAAGAAAACATAAATTGTTTTATAGATATACCCAACGATGGATTATTATTAAAATTATTATTTTAATTTTAAACGTTTAAATCTTTTTACTGTGAATCCAGTTTAGACAAAGAAGTGAATTAGTATTGTTGCGGACATTAAAGAACATGGTTTTCGCGTTTTTTGTGTATCCAAAATGCAATTCCTTCGGGAATACGGTGACGTGTTGTTTTTCGGCGAGTGATGGGTGTGCAACATCTTTGAAAAAATCTGCGTAATTATTATTTTCACGTTTTGTCTGAAGTTCAGACGGTATTCTAAAGCATGAAAATGGATCCACTTTCATTACCATACTTGAAAATGCGTACACGTCAATGTAAACTGGATGCTAGATCATATTTGCATATAATTATATTTTATTCAGTGTGTGCCATCACGTATAAGATTTTAATGCTAATTAAGTGTTAATTCTAATTTATCTGATTTGTAGTGTTTATAACATTTAGTTGGTTATAGATACCCATAGTGTTGTAAATGCAATATAATATGGTGGTACTGTAAATTCAAAAATAAATACTGTTTGTTTTCCACCTTGTTTACTAGACGGTTCTTTTAACGTGCAACATTGAAAATTAAACATATAATTTATTTTATTTTTTAAAAAAATTAAATTTTACTTGATAAAGTGTTTAGCCATTGACATATTTGTCTCTATTAAAACATGCATACCTATATGTTAGTTTAATAATTAGTGGTTAAATATACGAGTAGTTTGAAAATTTTGTGTATGAAAAAATATGAGTTTTATTTATGAATAAATTACTGAAAATGGTTTTAAATTGTTTAATAGTTTTTATCTTTGTCATTGTTTGATTTATACTGAATCAATCATTCTCTTAGTATAAATATTATCGGCGGAGCAAACAATTATTTTGTATGGTTCATAATCATTATATGGTATTTCAAAAATATTTAAAATATTTTTATATTTTACTTAAGATTATGGTTAGGTATGTATATTTATAGTTATAATAATTATTTTCACTCATATGTATGAATAAAACTATTAAACTTCTTGTGTATAATAAATATATTCTAAATATTTTATACATTGATTATTATAAAAAGTGTTTAGTTTCTACTGATAGATTGACTCATTGACTCTCTATTGATGCCATTTTGTTTATAAAATTATTTTTTTATTTTTTTTTAAAATAGAAATTGTTTAGCATAAAAAATGTAATAACTTCATATCCATGTACGTAATTATAATATATTAAAACTAAGTGGATATTTAATTTTGCATTATTATTGCAACACTATCGTTTTATAATTTAAAAATATATAAGCCATTATATATTAGTTTCAGTATTTAATTTAATTTAAATATGTGAATCTACAGTCTATCTATACATGTTTATACATATACTTATTGTTAGTCTTACGTGGTCGGCGATCAAAATGTATAGCCTTTTGTAATAATATTCTATTTGACTGGGCTTCAGTTCCAATTTGATTTGTACTCGGTTTTTGACGACGCCAAACGACGGATAACACTTTATTGGACAATTGTCCCAGTCGTATTGCACTTGATACTGTCCCGGAATTTTGGAACTATTTATTAAGTCAATGGATTTTATAATTTGTTTATCTGCTCCTGTTTGATATAAGAACACTTTGGTCGGGAAGATTTTCATCGAAGGACCTTAAAGTTAAAAAATAAATCTTATAATTTAAAAATCAAATTTATCATTTTATAATACTTTATAATACTTAAAATATGATAGGTAGATAAACATTTTGAATATGAAATAATTAAGGAGTTATAAGTTATAAGTTATAAGAAAATTGTGAATATTTTAAAAGATTTTTTTAGTTACATTAATGAAATGTAAAACTATAATATATCTACTTAATTTTACACAATATATAAAATAGAAAAAACTAAAAATTAAGGGCTTGAATGTAAAAATGACCAAATTTACCATTGGATTAACCTATTTATAATATTTTTTGTTTTGAAAATACATTCCAGAACATAAGAAAAAATTAATTTTAACCTATCTACTTAAGGGACCTGAACATTTAAGGTAAATATTAATACATATCTTTCCTGAATTAAATTACCCTATTAATTTATTATGTTATAATCAGGGTTCGGGATTTATAGAACTTAAAATCAAAAATAAGCGCTTAAAACATCATTATTATTTAAAATATATATAAAAAATAAATAAATCTTTATACTATAAAAAAAGTCTAACTTTGATTTTCGAGATATTTTACCTTATTTTTTATGGATTTTGCGAGGGATTTTCTGAAAAATGAAATGTAAACGATATTTATAGTTGAAAAAAATTTGGATTAGGTCAGTGGCGTTCGTTGTTGTTTATAATTAAGCTAAGATATGCAAAAAAGCAAAAATAATCAGAAAAACAGAAAATAAGCATTTTTTTTTTAAAAATTATCGAAAAAAGCAAAATTGCACTTTTAAATTTCATAATCAAACCTGTTATAACATGACTTACATTTCTATAACACTCTATCAAACCATAAAAATAAGCAAATGCTATGAGTCTCGAGACCTGGTTATAATATACTCGCATAAGCGGTACTAGACCTTCTTGACAGGTGAGGGGGACAGGAAATACTTAAGGGGGCAAGTAAAATATTAACACTATTTTGTCTACTATTTTATCTCATAAATTTTTAAACTAGCAATACTATAAAAAAAGGATTTTATTGATAACTATTTTAACTTATTTCAAATAAGATTATTTTGTAAAATGAATAGTACACTTACAAATACCTACAGTTATATTATTTTATCTTATACATTTTTAAAATAATAACTTACCACAATTTACCTGTGATGGTTCTTGTATGAAAAATTCGTATTTTTTACTTTGGTTTGTTCATAATTTTTATTATCATTTTATTATAATTAGTATTATCCAAAAAACTCAAGAATATTAAATAAAATACACACTTCATATCAAAGTATAAAATCATACAAAAAGTTTGTGATACAGATAATAATAAAGTAATAATATTGGTTCATGATTTGTTAGTTGATAAAAATAAATTATAATAATATTGAAAATTTTGACGCAAAAAATCTTATCAGCATATTAACATGAATGGCTCCCACGGTTATAGATAATAACATTATTACATACAAACATGTAGACTCTAAATAAGCATGTAATATAAGGAGTTACCAACGAATATTTGAAATGTTTAGGGGGAGTAAGAACTCGTAGGGGGCATCCTCCTACCTTGCCCCTCCCGTATTTCCGCCTATGTATACTTGTTGTATAAGTCTTAAACATCCACTATTCAACATTGAATGCTAAAATTAAGATTTTATAATACACATGTTTTCTCTTTTACTTATTTAATGAACTATCATATGACACATTACACATAACAATATTACTTAAGCCTATTTTGTACATATATATTTTGCTTTCATTCGATTTTTATCCTTATTAACTGAATTAGTTTGTTTTATTATTTTTGAGTAGACTTATATATATTATTATATTCGTATATTCGTATTAGTAAATCATCATCAAACCAAATATGAGACATTAATTTATAATATTTTATATTATGAATTCAGTGACTAATTTAATAATGAATGTTGGAAATAATTAATTCACCTTAGTTAACGCTTAAATGTTTCATGACAATATAACAATATCGAAGTATAGAGAATAAAAAATATATTCTATACATCACTAATTGATTTCAAAATAAATAATATTATATTATATTTATTTTTTTTAATAAATGAATATTTAAATATATATATATATATTAGGGTGGTTCTTATTTATAGGGATTTTTTTTTTATTATTATTATTTATAATCGATGCCTTTAAAGAGGTTCCAATATGTATAAAAATTATGTATACAAAATTTGAATATAATTGGATAATTTTAACCCGTGGCCCAAAGCTCTTAAAGTTACTATCATAATAAACCATAGACATGTCTGTAAATATAAAAATACCCCATCGATACAGTTCATATTACAATCGTACATAGTCCGTTTTTATCTTAATGCTTTTTAATATCTAATGTGATTATGTGAATCATAATTGTTCGTATTTATCATTAGTTATTGCAAAGTCACTGGTGTTGTTACTGCAAAGTACATTTGTAAAATAGATGTTATAATGTTACTAGTATACGAACTTCGTGATCAAACGAAAATATATTTAATCGGAAACTCCAAGACACTAAAGTTAGTCAACATTTAAATAATTCGACTGAATGTATTTTAAAATTTTGCATGTCTGAATTAACTAAGATTCAATGTAGGGAAGATTACCGAGAATTTCTTGAACTAACCGTTATATTTTTAAATGGTACTCCTGCTCGTCAAATATTATTTCGAGTTCCGGGAGCAATTCATCACATTTTAAAAAATGTTATGGTACATATTATCGTTCTATATTTTGAAAACTATACTTAAAAACTTATTGATTTTTAATAGTTTAAGCAATTAATACTTTTAAAATCACAACATTTAGCAAATTTTAAATTAATTGCAATTTTTCATGGGTAACTGTGCCACAAACCCTTCTCGAGTGTGTCTTTTACCATTAGATTTATTTTTATAAAAAAAAGATAGGCATCTTATATGTCTAATAGACACTGTCTATAATTAATTTTTTGAATGATTTATACCATGATTGTTTGATTTTTAATTCCTATATATAAGTATTAAATTGTTTATTTACATGAAAAATGTTAAAACTTATCATGATATTATGTTTTACAAATTACCGTAACACGATCCTTGTACACATACTATAATTTTTTGAATAGTTTTATTTAGGTTTTCTTCATATTCGTAGTCGTCGGATTCATCTTTTATTTCATTTTTATCGTCGGTCGAATATATTGTAAAATACTCCAAGGTAGTCTGCACATGCACGGATTTCGGATAAAATATAATTGAAAAAGAGGTCTTTTTATTGGGTAAAATTCGTGGCGTTTTTGATGGCTCAAAACTGATCGAATCGGCCAAGTACATTATTTCATTGTTATTTTTTACTTTAAATGTTGTCGCTTTCTAAAAAATAAACAGTTATAATTTTATTGAAATAGACATTTCTTATCGTTATTTTATTTTTAGTGTATATAAATCAATGGTAAGTAGTAACAGTGTTTTGTGAATTATATTCTAATATTTAATTATTAACAAACTAAGTATTTAGGTTTTTTGATTTTCACACATTATTTTAAGAATAAAGTAATTTGTCAATATCTACATAATTCGTTTATTTAACGAACTATCCTATTTGATTATTTGAAAAATGATTGAATAAAAAATGTACTTTAAATATTTAAAGATATAATTGTTTTATTAATTGAAAACAAAAATGTAGACTTGCTTTTAACTCGTTTGTTATATCGATCGATCTTTTATGAACAGAACCAACAGGAACCATTCCAAAGTCGATTTTTGTGAAGTGTTTATCTTCATAACCGTAGTCTAATTTGGACGTAGAAAGCATTATTGTTTTACTTAATTGTTGATTAGACTTAATTATAAAAGATAATTGCAAATTTATAATTTATAACAAATATCTATTAGTGTTTGGTGACAAATAGGTACAATTCTAATTAAATATATAATAAACTATTTGTGATTCGTCATAGAGATATGTTATTAAAGTAATAATAACGAGAAAAAGACAAATTTAAACTGTATTATTATTTGTAATTTTATAATATACCATAAAAAATGTTAAGTATATTACAAATACCTTTTTTTCCGTTTTAGTCGATAACAAGGGAAGATGTTGTGTTCACCATTGCTCTCGCGAGACATGGAGTTTTCATCTCACTTTTAGACAAACCGTTTGCTGTCATCTGTAATTCTAATATAATAAGTTATTATATATATATATCTGTGGTTATTAATAAAGTTATTATGCATATCTGTGGAAAAAACGATCATGCTTATCGCTTTTATCCATAGGTAATCTCTCCTGTAGAAGGATTAGATTAAAATAGATAAGATTTATTGCTAAATTTACAAATTTACACGAGAACAGTTTCTGAAAATGGTACCTATGAACAATTTCGATATTCGGCCTTTAGCCACAGTTAATGTAGATATATGCATTGATATATGAATCGCTAATTGCAGAAACGGGACAAGTCCATTTTTATCAAATTTGATTTTATTATCATTTTTTGTTAAGTACGCGTAAATACATCGTTTACTATAGAAAGGAGTCAAATCCGACTATCCAAACGATAAATATAGCGTTTGGAAATTTCACTTTACTGCAGAAAGGGAACATATTATGTTCAGTTTTTCATCATTCCTGAAAAATTAGGAAAAGTGGACTTGTCCCGTTTCTGCAGTTAGCTATTCATATGTATAGCAGTGCATATTTTAACTAATATACGGAGCGACATAATTGTTGCCTAAAAGATGATATCTTTAATTACTGGAAAACAACGATGTTTTGCAAAAATTAAGATATTTTTAATTATTTTATAATTTTATTTAGTAGTTATTTATTATACTTGATTTTGTTATTTGTTTATTATTTCATTTGATGGGTTGAAGTTGAAATATTAATTATTTTGATTATCAGAATATCTAGATAAAAACATACGATATTGTATTATAAATAACGTTACAAGTTTGGATGGTATTATTAGAGTTTCTAAGGTTTGAAAAACTTTCTAATACTGGTTTCTTACACTAAAATTTTCTTTCTTATAGGTTTTTCATAATTTATTGATGTTGATTTTATCGATTTTGATTATATGCATGGACATTTTTTTTTGTATCCCTGAGAATATTCCTTAAAATATAAATATTTACTAATGTATAGGCGTCGAGAAGTTACCTGGGCATCTGAAGTATTACTTTTCAGGTGGCACGTGTATTGTCGATTTTCAAAAAAAAAAAAAAAAAGATAGTTATATCCTATTACATACACCGTATTACTATAATTGATTATGAATATATACTAATATATTGTAGTAAACGTTAATAAATTGCTAATAACATACTAAGTAAACTACTAATAATTGCTGTAATGCTGTGGCCTGTGATAATAAATTAAAATGAACATACCTTGTATGAAAATTAATTTTGTGAAGACGTGTGCAGTGCCGAAGTTTTCCTTATTCACAAAGACAATATTAATTTATTTTGGTTCGACAATCGAGCAACGTACGTCATGCTTGATCTGATATCAATGACTATGATATTATTATGTCTTTTCCGTATCAAAAATAAATTAACGCAATCTAATTTATTAATATCGTGTTTTTTACGTAATCTTTTTCTCGTTGTTTTAATCGATGGCCGAGCGTGCAGGGAAATGGTCGGGTGACAGTTTCTTTGAACCGGTGACCGTAATAATATATTCAAAATCCCCGTAAAAATGTATAATTATAACACGAATTCTTATTTTTAATACATCATTATTAATATTGATTTTGGTTTATATTATTATACACAAGTTTCGATCCGCGAGGCCCTCATAAAAGCGCGAGGCCCCGGGCAAGGGCCCTGCTCGCCCCCTCGTTGCGGCAGCTCTGTATGCACCCATTGCACTCACCCCTCGACATCCATGCCCTGTGTCTTAACTCTAAAGATCTTACTGGCCCAGTTCCAATAACCAACCATTCTGGTATCTTGTACCGAAATGTTCAATGTCTATTGTTTCATATTTTCTATCCGGCTTGATGGCTTCGAAAATAAAATGTACATTAAATTTAATTATTTAGACCTATTGTATGATATTTATATACGATGTATTATTTGTATATTTATATATCTATTATGTTTGTTTATTTACGATATTTATGTATTGGTACTATGTATATATTCTATTTTATAATTATAAAATGTTCCACTATTATTCAACTTTTTTACTGACTTGATTCATGTATGTTGATTATTTTCCTTTTCAACCTTCCTCAATATAATAACTCTAAAATATGTTGATGAAATTATGACGTAACCATTTTAATTTCAGATTAACCACACGTCAGAGGAAACCGGTTTATCGGTGGTCATTGGGCCCCCCACTGTCTCCGTACTATCATACACAAACACACGATCATTTTTTCGATTTTGCTTCATTGCACCTACAATTGCGTTTTGGACATATTGAGCATTGTTTTGTGAATAAATTTGAATAATCTTTGACGTCGAAATTTAGTTCGAATCATTCATAATAAGCAAATTGAAAATGGCTGGACGTGCTTTACATTTTGTGTTTAAAGTTGCCGAAAGAACAAAAACTATCAAGTTTTACAGAGAACTTTTGGGAATGAAAGTAAACTTTTCTGACTCGCATTTTTTTTTTCAATTTTTTTTCGCAAACTTGATTTACTGATCAACTAATTACTAATTGCTTATGATATTTTAGGTCTTAAGACATGAAGAGTTCACTCAAGGTTGTGAGGCTGCATGTAATGGGTAATTTCAATGACTATAATATTTTTAATATTTCTTCTGTGGTGTAGGGTGTGATTATAACTATGCATTTATTGTGTACCAAATTGAAATTGTTTACAGACCGTATGACAACCGTTGGAGTAAAACTATGGTTGGATATGGACCTGAAGATACTCATTTTGTTATAGAACTTACTTATAATTATGGTGTTGAAGATTATAAGCTTGGGAATGATTTCCTTGGTATTACATTGAAATCATCAAAAGTATTAGAAAATGCTAAGACTCTTGGTTGGCCCGTTGAAGTCGAAGGTAGTTTATCTTATGTTGTAGCGCCTGGAGGATATAAATTTTATGTGATTGATGAACCTCAACCTGTCAATAAAGGTTTGTATGATATTATTTATTTTAATTTATATGAACTATTTAATATCATTACTACTTATTAATATTTAATTACATAAAGGTTGATAATTTGAATTAACAAATATTTGTCAATACTTTGTTAATGATCTCAATAGTTACTTTCAAATAATGTGATATTTAACAATTTCTATTTGTATGCCTATATGCATTTATATTTATATTATTCATAAATTTAATTTGCTGTATATAATTATCTTTAAGGTATATAATAAGGAATTTAATAAGAATAAAAATAGTTTATGTTCTAGTTAGGTTTAACAAAAATATTTGAATAATTTGATTAGATAATCATTGCTGGAGATTAACCCATTATTAAATTAGTTATAATAAGCTAAATGTAAATTAATTTGTTCTTAAACTAAATAATTATTTAAAAAAAAGGAAATCTAAATAATACAACAGTTTATTTTAATTTACATGCTCATAGTATACCTACTAGATATAAATTGTTATCAATGATAACAAAATGTTTTTGTTCAAGTGTATTTTTATCAATAACTTCATGTATATTTAATCAGTGCATAACTAGTACATTCATTTTATAGAAAATATTGTGACTATTAATGATTAATCCTACAATTATGTACCTTTGAATAAATGTAGTTAAAATAATTATTTCCCTAGATAGTTAACTAATATGAATGTATGTTTAATAAATCTAACATTGTTAGAATGGTTTAATTATAAATCAAGTTTTTTATTGAATTTATGATCTTTCTAACTATTATTATTATGATAAACAGCTGCTTTTTTTTTTTGGATATTTTGTTAATTATAATTCTTAATTATTAATTGTTTAAAATACTTTTCTGTGTTATTTGTTATTAATAATTATGTTTGCTATTTTTATGCGGTAAAAATAAAAATCCTTTTACATATACTCACATTTAAATTTTGTACTAAAGTTAAATTGTTTCTAGATCCTGTTGTAAATGTTATGTTATCATCAACAAATTTGATAAAATCTAAAAAGTTTTGGAACGAGATACTTAGCTTGAGCATTTTCACAGAAACAGAAACTTTTATTGAATTAGGATTCGACGAAAAACAAGCTAAACTTAAATTTAGAGATATTGGTAATTTTTAACTGTAAAAAAATGTTCCGTTGTTATTTTATGAAACTAATTATAACTATCATTATATTACTATATGTTTTATTTTTGTATAATTTCATTCTAGGAGAGCCAATTAATCATGCAACGGCATATGGAAGAATAGCATTTTCAGTTCCTACTACTGATCTAAAAAATTTCCAAGAAAAAGCTCAAAATAATCAATACAAAATTTTAACTCCTTTTGTTACTTTAGACACACCTGGTAAAGCATCGGTATCTGTTGTCATTTTTGCTGATCCTGTACGTTTTTTGACCTTGATACTTTTTAAATATTTTCATTTTTTAACTGAGGTCAAACAATGAACTAATACATTATGTTTTTTTATAGGATGGTCATGAAATATGTTTCGTTGGAGATAAAGAATTTCGTGAGTTATCCCAGTTTGATCCAGATGCAGAAAAACAATTAGATAAGTATATTAAAAAAGATGAAGCTAGAAAATTAAAAAATTAAACCACTGTGATTTAAAAAAATGATTATGATTAATTTTTCTAAGTTTATAAAGTTTTTATTATTTTTCATGAATTGTTTAAAGCTAAGTTAATTTATTTTGAAAATCGTTTAAATATCTAAATTGTTAGTAATATTCATTGTGTTTATATATTATTGACTTAATTAATTACCAAAAAAAATTATCTTATTGAAATATTATTATTTTTTTTTTAATTATGTTGTAATTTATTTGAACTGGAAAGTGGAAATTTAATAAAATGGTTTATTTTTGAGGTAATATTACGTGTAATTGCCTAACAATGACTGTGATACTTAATAAATACCTTCTAATTAACGTTTTTATAAATCAATCATTGAAAAACAAATAGTTTATTTATTAGGAATAATGGATTGTAGTCAATTATGAATTAATCCGGAATTTAGAAACAATAAATTAATATTTTTGTAAGTTTTTATTTTTGAAAATCTTACATTTTAAATCACAATCAAATTTTTGTATTAAAAATGCATATCAAACATAAATTACAGATATAATCACTGAACATGAATGATGCCTGTATTATTCAATGAATCTATATTTAATAAAAACTAATTGCCACTAATTAAATACTTAATATAGAATACAATATATATAATAATATACAATAATAAAACAAGTTGCAAAATACTCATAAAAAGGTTTTTCCATTAATTTGTATAAGTAGAGTCTACTATACATTGTATTTAGTTGAATATTGTGTGACAGTTGTTAATACATGAAAGAGGTTTAAAATTAAACAGTTGAAAATTCTAATTTTATAAATTAATATAAATAAGTTAATTAATTTTATGTTGTAACATGTAAGTACAAAAAAACTGACAAGTATAAAAACTTTGGTTAACAAATAATAATTAAAATATAAATAAAACATATTGTTAGAAGTACTGTGGTGAGACTATCCACAACAATAATTTAAATTTATTTAAAATTTTGTTTCAAATTCGTCCTAGAATATAGCTGTGTAATAATATTAATAGTTATGTTATGATAAAACAATTGGTAATTCAATTAAAAGGTGTGATCATTTTTTTTTTTTAATATGCTTTTGATAAAATAGGTAAAACCACTCATTTGCAAAGTAAGTTTCCTTAAATTGATTATTATCTATTATATAATATATATATATATATCAGATATATATAATATCTGTTATATAATTGGTTCTTATATTGCTTATTTTAGTTATTTTTTATTTCATTGAAATAGTGAAAAAATGTTAAGAATATACATTTTACTCTAGTTATATCTTTATCTATAATTAATATTAGTATTAATAATTATCTATATCTAGGTAGGACAAACAAAATATACTTTCAACCAATAATAGATATTTTTTTTCTTTTATCTTACTGAATATAACAAAACATATTTTTTAATACTTATTTTTTGTGTTTATATGTGTTTTTATCTTAAATTGTATTGGAAGTAATCAATATAATTTTTACAATAGGTTATATGTATTCACTGTACACGTATACATCGAAAATAACTTCAAACTTTTTTGGAACTTCTTCATTTCATATAGTAGATATATGATTTTTTTTTTGTTTTTATTTTTAATTTACAGCAAAAATTCGATTGGGTGAGAGTATAAGCTATTTGAAAGAAAATAAAAAAACAAGATGACGTGTGTACGATTTATCTTTAACTGTTAAATAATAAAAATTTTCTTACATGGTTCATAGAAAAAAAAAGCTATTCGTACAACGGAACATTATATTTTTCAAGTCTCGGATGTATATTCGCACCCATATTACATAGTAAATATAGATGATATTAGATATAAGAAATGTGTAGAAGCATAGGAAAAAATTATAAATAATTTATTACTGAAAATGCATATTAAATATTCAAGAAAATATAAAAAATACGGTCACTTAGAAAAGTAACCATAGAGTTCAATCCAATTATAAAGTCAAAATTCATTATATTTTTTTTGTATTATGTCATGCTGTGAAATATAAAAAAATAATGACCACTGTCGCATTGATCGCGTTCTATACTAAATGGTAAATAAGTATTATACGAACAGTATAGAAAATTAACGCATGTTAATTGTGAACATAAAGTCTGAAAACTATCGTCTATATTAACAGCCTCTTTCTTTCTTGTCATATACTTTAATATAAGACTGAGCTGGGAATTTCAACATTAGTAATACTCTTCATATTTATGATTAGTCCTTGGTTTTATTTTACCTTTATGGTGGTTATGAATCCAGTGGCGTGTCCAGGATTTTGAAATGAGGAGGTTTCTAAGAAATAGAAGAGATGAATTACTATAGGGCCCTAATAATTAATTACAAAAAAAAAAAAAGACATTAGGAAATAATAGGTGTTAAGTACTTATAAGTTACTAATTAATGAGTCATCACTTGGTACTCAAGTATAATGGTGTAGTTGTGAAAATAATATAAACAATAGATTTAATCGACAATGATAAAAAAAATGTCACATTTTTGATTATATTACTATTACATAACGATTAAAAAATAATTCATATTTGAATATACTTATGATATTATATTATCTTATGTACAAAATAAAATGAATTAATTTCGTCTAAAGTTTAATTTTTTGGTTATAGATGATGACTCGTTTAAAACATTGTCTGGTGTAACTTTAATTTCCGAATATATATTTAGAACCATCAATTATTGAACTTAATTTCCCATGTTGTTTTTCTAAGGTACATTTTTGAAATAGAAAGCCATATTATTCCTAGTATTGTAATTATAGGTAGAATAATAAGGTATTTTTTTATTTTAAGATTAGTCGGGAAAACATTTTGTCAACACTGAAGAAAGTGTTTCATCTGCATTTTCATTTTTGAGATTTGTACAATATTTTCACCTTAGATCAAATTCTCCTATAGCTTCAAGTTAAATAGAGTCAATATGAACAATATAGGTTCTAACTAAGTTTATGATTTCATTTTCTCTATAGTTTAAAACTGATGAATTTAGTTTATATGATAAAAGACAACTAAAGCTTTTTTATAAGATTTTGTATAGTAAAAATATATTGTTAGGTTGTGTTAAAACTTATCAAATAATGGTATAAAAACTATCAATCTACCCTTACTTTCTAGAACTATGCAATCTACTCACAAGGGGGTAGCCAGGGGGCAGCTAGAGGCAAATGTCCCCCCCAGATCAATTTATTAAGTAGATGTTTTTAATATGTTGAATATCGAATATTTAAATGATTCAATTAATATGTTCGTATATAAACACGTAATCGATAAATTAAATTGGAATATTATATATATCTGTAGACTGTAGTCTATTTTTAATTGCACAGCGATACATTTTTCCCTGGGAGAAGATATCGATAATTCTTATCGCGTACAAGTATATCTTTCTTAGAAAGGTTTTCTATTATGTTTTCGATGAAATATTATTATAACACTGTATCAACAATTTATAGACATTTAGAGCATGATACCATTATAAAGGTATACTGTATGCAGTGTATAAGTACCTATAATTACTTGCATTTCTGTAATTCTGTTCATCGTGTGAATTTTTACGGACAAATGTAATATACGAACTACGAAATGTTTTTAGTTATTATAATTAATATTAATTAAATAATAAATTACAAACAAAGTGCTTATTAGTCATTCACTCATGGATATCAGAAAATTTTTGACTCGTAAATACGAAAAAAATCATATTTTGATTTATTTAAAAAATTATTTGATTACATTTTTTCAAATATAAAATAATAATTTTCACAATTTTTGGAATAATTATTAAATATTTAGTAATTGTGTAGTTTAAATAATAATTTAAAAAATCAATCTTATTCTGAAATAATATTATCAGTATTTAGTTATACCTATTTATGATCAACAACTTTTTACGTTTTTAAAACATTTTTGCCTTCGGACGCCGGGGAACCTCTGTTCATTTTTTTTTTCAATTAGTTTAATAACTTATTTTCATTTATTTTCAGAATCAGTAGGTCAGAAGAGAAAACATGCTGAAATGAGTGATAGTGATAATTCTGAATGCGACGGTAAAAAAAAAGCACCTTTATGTAGTAGTGTCGAAGTTACACCGTCGACTTCTTTGACTACTGAAAAATGTTTTGAAAATGACTTAGGAGAATGGATTGGGCAATCTTTACATATGACAGCATCACAAAAAATAGAAATTTTTAAACATTGTTGGATCCCGTCGAAAAATTACAATTTTAAAGAGGACGTTCATGATCCTAAAAGAATATTTAGGACTGATTGGTTGGAAACATATTCTCCTTGGCTAAAATATTCTAAAAAATTAAAAGGCGCATTGTGTTTGTATTGCGTCTTATTTCCCCAATAAATGTATCAGGAGTTTTAGGATCATTTATTATTAAAACTTTTACACGTTATAAACATATGCATGAATACTGTAAGAATCATATAACCAACCAATGGCACCAAAATGCTGTTCAATCAGCAAAAAGCTTCATATTAGAAATTCCTATTAACGTTAAGATGGTGTCGGGACATAAAAAATAGGAAAATTATTTCATGTATTATATTAAACATTCCATTTTGCGGAGTTCACGGCTTACCATTGAGGGGAAAAAATTCGGATAAAGGTAACTTGCTTTGACTAATAAAAAAAACTACTTTAAATTTGAATTAGTATTTTTGTTTATTACCTTTAATTCAAATAAAATTTTTTTTCAAATTTACAAATTTTTTTATAGGAATTTTTTAAGTTCTGCTTCACTTTCCAATCAAAGCAGGTGATCAAAGTCTCAAACAGCATTTGGAAGAAGGTAAGAAAAATGTTACTTATACTTTTCCACAAATTCAAAATGATATAATGATATAATTTAGTTATGTGGAATGGTAATCAAGGACTATATTTTAAAGAATGCTAAAGTGGTGCCTGCTTACAGCTTGATGGCAGATGAATATTAAGACATATCAGGAAAAGAACAACTTTCAATCGGCATTCGATTTTTTGATGAAATAAGACAAG